TAAGGGGAACCAAACACCTTCCACTCGGATCAACAGATCTCTTTTATATATATATATATATATATATATATATTTTCCCTTGAATTTAGTTTAAGGGGATTCGCTATCACACACAATAACATTCAATCAATTGGTTTTAAAAACATATTAATCCAAAATTTATATTGATTGATTATGATAAAATCAATGCTTCAATACCTAATATCTTGGTTAGTTTTATTTTAATACTTATTTTATTATTATTTTTAATTAAAATTTTTTCTTTTTCAATTGTTTAAGTAAATCTAGATTAGAAGTGGAGGCGTGCTCTCCGAGAAGAGGAAGCTATCCAATTACAGAATATGATTAGTAGGTTGAACACCAAATCACTTACCAAGGGAAGAAGGGATGTATGGCACTGGAAACATGATCAAAATGGCATCTACAGTGCAAGTTCAAGTTACCAGACACTATCAAGATTACCCATTTTTTTCACCAATGTATCAAGAATAGATGGCGACAGAAAGAGATAAACTGCTTAGAGATAGAAGGTAAGCAATTATCAGAAGTTATAGAACTCAAGAATGGGGTGGTAAAACATTTTGAAAGTCTATTTAAGGAGGAGGGATGGCAGAGACCAAAGTTAGATGGAGTGGTGTTCAACAGAATTTCTCAAGCAGAAAATGAGATGTTAATAGCTTAATTCACAGAAGAAGAAATAAAGCAAGCAGTATGGGACTGTGACAGTATGAAAGCACCTGGACCAAATGGTTTTAGTTTTAGTTTCATCAAAGAAATGTGGGAGTCCATAAGGCATGAAGTTAGTGCTTTTGTGAATGAATTTCATAGAAATGGACGACTTGTTAAAGGGTCAAATTCTTCTTTTGTGGTCTTAATCCCGAAAAAGGAGAATCCAATTAAAATTGAAGATTACAGACCTATATCTTTGATTGGTTGTATGTATAAAATCATAGCAAAGTTGTTGGCCAACAGATTGATGAAGGTGATGGAAGGAATTATGAATGATAATCAGTCGGCATTTGTGAAAGGAAGGCAACTGATGGACAGTGTGATAGTCCCAAATGAAACAATAGATGAAGCAAAGAAGAAGAGAAAAAGGATTTTCATTTTCAAGGCGGATTTTGAGAAGGCGTATGATAATGTTTGTTGGGATTTTTTAGACTCTATGCTATCCAGCATGGGGTTTGGAGATAAATGGAGACAATGGATAAAAGAATGCCTTGCCTCAAGTTCAGTGTCAATCTTATTGAATGGCAGTGCAACAAGGGAGTTCAAAATAAGCAAAGGACTTAGACAAGGAGACCCACTCTCCCCTTTTCTCTTTTTAATTATTGCAGAGGGGTTAAATGGGATTATTAACTATGCGGTGGAACATAATCTATTCAAGGGTGTAGCAGTGGGGAAGGGAAGCTTGATGATCACACATTTGCAATTTGCAGATGATACAATATTGTTCGAAGAGGCAACAGAGGAAAATATGAAAGCACTAAAAGGCATCATGAGGACTTTCGAGTTGGTGTCAGGTCTGAAAATTAACTACAATAAAAGCCAGCTTATTGGTGTAAATGTTAAAGAGGAAGAGGTGAGCAAAATGTCCCACTTTTTGAATTGCAATATTGGTGAGCTTCCGATGAAATATCTGGGAATGATGATTGGTATGAGTACTCGTAGATTAAAGATGTGGAAGGGGCTGATTGATAAATTCAAGAAAAAATTATCTGGTTGGAATAATAAATATCTATCTTTGGGAGGAAGAATTGTCCTGATTAACTCTGTGCTTACTAGTCTTCCTGTGTTTCTCATGTCCACTTACTTACTTCCAAAAGGTGTAATTAAAGCTATTGATACCATACGTAGGGGCTTCTTATGGGGAGGGAAGGAAGAGGGAAAGAAAATTGCCTGGGTTGGGTGGGATAAAGTGTGCAAAGGAAAAGAGGATGGGGGTTTAGGCATAAAAGATTTGAGGTTGTTTAATTTAGCTCTCCTAGGAAAGTGGTGGGGAAGATTAGGTGATGGGAGTAAGGGCTTATGGAAGAGGGTGTTGGAGGAGAGATATGGGAAGAATGGGACAAATTGGCATGATTGGATGAGGGAGGGTAGAAATATAAGTTCAAATTGGTGGAGAGACATATGTAGTATAAACTGGGGGTGTGTGAACAAAGAGGAGTGGTTGGAATTGAGATTTAGTGTAGAAGTAGGAGAAGGAAACGAAGTGTCTTTTTGGAGGGATGTCTGGGTGGGAAATGGGTGTTTAAAAGAGAAATTTCCAAGATTATATCTTCTTTTTGCAGGTAAAGGATGCACAATCAATGAAATGGGCCATTGGGAGGGTGATGCATGGAGATGGTGCTTAAATTGGCGAAGACATTTGCTGGTTAGGGAGGCAGAGCAGGTCACGGAGCTCATGGAAATTATACAAGGAATACAACTAAGAAAAGGAGTGAAGGACAGCTGGCGATGGGCACATGACAAAGGGGGCAACTACAACGTGAAATCTGCCTATGCTTTGTTAGCAAGGGACGAGGCTTTGGAAGGTAGAAAACTACTAAAGAAGTGCTGGAATCCTACAATTCCTAGCAAGGTATGTGCATTCACTTGGCTAGTCCTCCAACACAGAATCCCTTGCAAAATAAACCTGATAAAAAGGAACATCACTAAGAATGGGGAAGAAGACAAATGTGGGCTTTGCAAAAAATATAGTGAGGACACTAATCATCTTATGCTAGAATGCGACTTTGTCTATTCTTTATGGATGAAATGTGCCAAATGGTGGGGAGTATCTCATGTAATGCATCAAGACTGTAAAGCAGCTTTTGACCAGCATAGTGGTGTAACAAATGCAAGGACGAGCTGGCTAGTGATATGGTTTGCAGTGACATGGACTATATGGGTAGCGAGAAATGATGCAATTTTCAATGATAAGCAAGCTAATGTGGAGGATGGATTGGAATTAGTTCGGAGGAGATCTTATTTGTGGATTAGTGGGAACAAAAGTGACTGGAATTTTTCATTTACTAATTGGTGCCAAGACCCAAATAGGTGCTTGATATTGTCAAAATCAAAGAGAAAATGAATGTAGATGGGTAAGAGTACCCCTTGTACTCTAAAAATAAATTAAAAAAAAAAGTTTTTTTAGCTGTTCAAAAAAAACCAGACACTATCAAGATCCTTCTCATCCACAAGGGGGGTAATTTTCAACAAGATTTGGAACCCCCACATACCCACAAAGGTCAGTGCATTCAATTGGCTAGTCACACAAGATAGAATTCCATCTAAAGTTAATTTATGCATGAGGGGTGTATTGAGAGATGTTAGTATGATTATGTGTAAAATGTGTGAGGAGGGTGATGAATCAACAAGGCACCTATTTCTACACTGCCATATAGCTAATATATTGTGGGGAAGATGTTGTCGTTGGTGGGGTGTGGAAGGTGTTCTTGCTGAATCCTGTTAAGAGGCTTTTGTTCAACATGAAGGCTGGTTCAAAGATAAAAGGTCAAGGGAGGGATGGGAGGTGATTTGGTTTGCAGTCATATGGACAATTTGGTTAGCTCGTAATGGAAAAATCTTCAACAATGAGACAGTGGATACAGACCAACTATTTCAATTGATTCAAGCCAGATCGTTCATATGGCTCAAGGAGAGAAAAAGAGGACACAAATTTTCCCTCTCAGACTAGTTGCAAGATCCTAGATCGAGCATGAGGAATGGTTAGCAAATTTTCTGAATTGTGTATTTATGTATGTTTTAAGAAGAAATCTGTCCAAAGTCTTGGCATTTTTTTGGATTTGAGGAAGGGTTGCTGGCTGTATGTTTTCCAGCTGGGATTGGCTGCAAAACCCTGTGGTGTGTTTTCAAAAGACTTGATGTGCTATTCTACTATTGAAGAAATTGCAAAAGAGGGTAGAAACCCGACACGGGTGTGGTGTCGACACATAAGTTTGGTGTCCACACCATACAGTAAGCATCCAAAATTAGCAAAGACTGTTCGGCTCTCATTAATTTATGTCTTTCAAGTTGGAATACTTATGAGTTTGGAGTACTCTTTGTATTTTACTCTTTGTATTTTACTTTTTAATAAATGTTATTTTTTGTTGTTAAAAAAAAAAAAGTAAATCTAGATTAATTTTTTTTGGTATTTAATTAGTTACAATTCTTATAGATTTAACACTCTTCTCATCATTATATTATTTGGAGCTACCAATACACTTATTAGATTAATCTCCGCAAATCAAGCTCCACCACCAATGAATGTCAACTTTTATTTCAATTTAATTAAATTTCATTTTTAGTTTTTACACTTTTAACTTTAAACATTTTTAGTCACCAAGCTATTTTTTTATACTCTTTTTGTCCATAAATTTTAAAAAATATATTCTTTTAGTTTTTTTATTAAATAATACATTAAATATATCTATATATATAAGTTTTTAGTTCCGAGAGTTTAGAAGTGAAAATGTGCGGTGGAGATATTTTGTTTGCAGCTTTGAAGCAAATTTTCTCTTCAACTCTTTGCTTAATTTTAATTTGATGCAAAGCAAGCAAAATAAAATAATTATATAATTAACTAGTGGTGATATTTTGTTGCAGCCCTTCTGATGGTGAGTTATGACTTGGGCTATAATTCAGCATTGGACGGTGTCGTCTACATGGTTGGTTCTCTCTTGTCTATCTTTTCAAAATTTTCGTTTTTCTCTTTCAACTTCGAACTTATTCCTAAGTTGGTTTCAGGGTGCATAGAGTTGCCCATGGAATTATTGATGTTGCCACCAGTCCTCTCATTGGAACCAACAAACTCATCTGGTCAGGTCTTATTTTATTTTATTTTTTTATTTTTCTCTACTTTGAATTTCAATGACGCTTTCTAAGCTAAATACTTCATCATCCACATGGCTAGCCAGGGGAGGGATATAGAGCTGTCAAGGATTTGGAAATGGAGGAGGGTGGTCTCTCCAGGAGGTAACTCATCCATCCACTTATTTTCTTTGTTTCATTTGGCACTCCCGTGGTGACTACATTGCCACGTCTCTCCATTCAAACCCAACTTCTGCCATGCCTTACCTTTATTTTTCTGTTTTTCATTCTAAAATATTTTTCACTTCATGAGCATTAGGAAATTTAGAAAGCTGCCATCACCACGATTATTTACACTCCCTGGAGCGTAAATATCATTACCGAATATAAAGGCTCAAAAAATTGCAGCATTTACGGGAGATACCGAAATGATAAATCTCTGCTTTAATCCATTATCCAACAATTTTAATGTTTATTTCATTTTACTTGTGAAAATGAAATAAAAATGCTATAAAAATGTTAAGACTTTGTTAACTGATCTTGGTTTACTTTAGACAAATTTTGTCTTTTGGCCATAATGCAGAATTCATCCGTAAAACAACTACATTTGTTTCCTGCAGGATGTCCTCACTCCTAACTCTATCCTTGAAGGTTGCCACCAAATCCTATTTCTCAGAACCAAAAAATTATGTTCAAGGACAATTAGATGGTCTTGACATTGCTGCATTAATGCTGCACTTTGCATCAATAAGTATAGCCTATCTTGTATACTAGTTTATCTCTAAATACAAAAGGCTAGATAGGAATTAAGCAACCTCTTTATTACATGGTAATGAGTATTATTTGAATACAATGATAGAATTAATAGAGGTATAGCACTCAAAGACAATCCACACAATCAACTATTAAAACATAAAACATAGCTAGTTCAAGTCTTCCAATGATAAATGTTTTTGCTTCAAAAACGTGACTGGAGGTACTTGACAACATTCGGCTCTAACCTGAAGGCCTTGGTGAGAACATCAGGATTAATAGCTGGATTGGATCCAAAAAGGGCATCGGCGATTGTAATTGTGCCCGGATTCTGGGTACTAAAAGCTGAAAGAGCAACAGCAGGAGTTTTCCCTATATTGAGCTGGAAGTGAATCAAACCAATAGGGAAAACAAAAACATCTCCCTTGTTCAGGACCTTAGTAAATAGACGGTTCCCATCCTGGTTGGAGGAGACTAAGCCAACGTATAGTGTGCCTTCCTGGACTACTAGAATCTCAGTTCCTCGAGGATGAGTGTGGGGCGGGTTAAGGCCACCATAAGGTGCAAAGTCAATACGAGCTAGGGATACGCCAAGAGTGTTAAGTCCCAAAAGTTGTTCAACAGATAC